TCAAGTTCCCTCTTTTTAAATTTAATCAGGTCTTACGTTTCTGTCTATATGCAAATATTTTAATGCAGGTATTTATTTACAGGGATTACTTACCTTTATAGACGTACATATAAGGACTGCATATGAAGATTGTTCAACTATGCATTTATTTATTTATTTATACATGCATTGCATTTTATCTTTATCTTTAATTTGCTGAATGTCGAAAGTCTTCCACGAAAGCTGCTTTCAACCCTGACGTTGGGGACAACCTACTACCCTACCTCCCCTTATCCCATTACACATGGGAATATGATTTTGTTGTTGTTTCTATTTAATTTAATTTTACGATTCTTAATTGTTTACTACTTTTCAAGTAAAAAAAAAAAGAAGGAACAAATTTAAATTCACAAAAATAGTTTAAAATTTCATTATTTTCTCCCTTCTTAATTCGATTTGATTTTGCAGTTCACCGATCCGGGCTGGCATGTTTATGAATTACGATGCTAAGGCAATCGTAAATGTTGAGAATATAAAGTTGGTATAAAGCTTCATATCCATTAATGCTTTATTAGGCATTACAAAGGAACGACCAAAAGAAATTAACTATTTCAGAAATGAACCATAATACTCCAAAACCAAAGCTAATTCAAATTCACTGCTTGTCAACTAAAAAACATAGGAAAAATAACTTTAAAGCAGAAAAAAAAAAACATAACCCCACTTGAATGGCTACGATGCAGGGACTCAAGGAAAGGTACTTGCTATCGGGTTCTTTACAACAACGCTCCTCCGAGTGCAGCCGTTAAGGGATAGTTTCATGGTCAGAATGATGAGGGATGTTGGATCTGCATTGTTCTTTGTTTGATTCTGCGTGAACGGAATAACCCCGATATCGAACGAAAAAGTCATAAATTAGGCTATTAAATATATTCAGGGGAGAGTATGCTAGGTGACGGCGGTAACAATGAATCAATGATCTGATTAACTCACAGTCAAACCATCTTCAATGTATCCTAGAGTACCAGACTTGTAATTCTTGTTTGCGTTACGAGTCTCTCGATTTTCATAAAATCCGAAGTCGTTTAACAACGAAGATTTTTCTGAATAACCTTTAAAGATGTTCAGCATTTCTAAGCATTACTTGAGACCAACCTGCAAAATGAGTAAATATCATTAGTCTTCATCGATAATCACAACAATCACAACCAGGTGATGGGAGAAAAATGAAGCGAAGAAACTGGATCATCCGTTCTTTTGTTTGCTTTTGCAACCATTCACTCACATATGACATTGAACTTAGATTTGCCCCTCCCTTGCTTCCCAATAAATCATTTTTTTTATAGAAGTAGGAGGCCTCATTAAAAACCTCCCTCATGGTAGTCCCATTCCCGAAGGAAAGAGACGACCAACGAAAGGAGGAAAAGAGTACCTCAATTTATTAATAAAATAAAATTACATAAAACTTAAAAAGTACACCATACCCAGTAGCTCTCAAAGAAACATCGGAAACAACCTAAAACATAACCCTTACAATCACCCAATCCCCTCCTTTGCTAATTTATTAACCTCACCATTACAAGCCCTAGGAATCAATCTAACTATAGAGGCTTTAGATGTAACAAGGGGCACAATATCGTTAACAAGGGAGCAAAGGAAAGGAGCAGTAACAGGAGAAAGAATCCACTCCACTGCAGATTTGCAATCACTTTCTACAATCAATCTACCCTCACGAGCCCAAACTGAAGAGAGAAAGATCTCGATGCCTCTTTTAAAGGCTTTCAATTCAGCTACTAGCGGAGGGCCAGAACCAATACTTTAAGAAAAAGTCACTAAAGTGGCGCCATTCCAATCTCTTAAAATACCAGCAATACCTCCTGCCAACCCGTCAAACCTTACAGCCCCATCAACATTCATCTTACAGAAATCAACTGCAGGGGAAGCCAACATTGCAAAGGCCTACACTGAGACTTAACAACAGAACGCCTATCTGCAAGGGAAGGATCTTTGATCAACGTATCTGCCTGGATAGGGATGTGATGAAACTTGCCTAGAAACCATTTTGCTAACCTAAATCTGACAATGAAGAAGAAAGAGGATCTGTCAAGCTTCACTTTATCGAAAACAATTGAGTTCTTAGCTTTCCAAATGGACCAAAAACCAACACTCGGAATAAATTTCCAAATAATCGAGTTTTCCTTTAATTCTGACCAATAGCTAAGAAGCGAAGGAGGATCATGTGGCAAAACTATAGAAAGATCCCAGAAGCTGACTAATTTAGTCTAGAGTTCCCAAGAAACAAAACACGAGATGAAGAAATGTTGTACTGATTCCTCCCGCTGTCGGCAAAGCGGACAAAGAATGTCTTCTCTTACGGACACCCCTTTTTCTTCAACTCTACTCTAACAGCCAATTTCTGGTGAGATAACTGCTAAAGAAAAGTTTCAACTCTTGGAGGAACTAAACCCAACCAGACCCATTTTTTCCGTAAAAAAGTTTCCCCCAGAGACCTTAGAAAGGACCAATCTACAAGATTTAACCGAGAATAGTCCATCACCCTTCCTTGACCAAGATAAAAAGTCATCCATTGAATCGATCAATTTAACGTTATACAACTTTGACATTAATTCCACCCATTAGTCCAATTCCCAATCACATAAGTTCCTCCTAGTTTGTATATTCCACTCCCAACCATTCGACTCATAACAACCAAATTCAACCACATTACCCCATTTATTGGATGAAATAGCAAAGATCCTAGGGAACAGATTTTTCAACGGTGTATAATCTATCCAAACATCATTCCAAAAAGAGATAGACTTACCATTCCCCACCTGCAACTTCGAATTATCTCTTAGGCAAGCTCCAACCGAGTCATTCTTCAAGAAACTATTGGCAATACCTCTCCAAATCCAAAAGGCATGAGAAGAGAAAACCTTGTTGATTGACATGGTGTTGCAACTAACATTATTTTTGCAGCACAACAATTTTTTCCATAATGAGTCTTTTTCATTAGCAAATTTCCAAACCCATATACCCAGCAGAGCCCGATTGGTAATATTTAAATCCAAAACTCCTAGGCCTCCATTATTTAACGGACGACAAACAATTCTCCAATTCACCCAGTGAATCCAACTCTTCTCTGCTCCATCTCTCCAAAGAAATTTTTGCCATCAAAGAATTTATCTTTTGGCTGATTTTGTATGGCATTTTGAATATTGATAAGAAAAAGATAGGCAAAGAGGACAACACCGACTTTAAAAGCACCAATCTACCTGCCAAAGAAAGGCAAGAAGCTTTCCATTCAGCCAATTTCAAATTAAAATTCCTGATGATCGGTTCCCAAAGGACCTCAGAATTTTTCCTAGCACCGAAAGGTAGCCTAGATAATTTGTAGGGACAGAACCTACTAAACAGCCAGTGGCCAACGCCCAATCATTAAGGTTATCATCTTCAACATTAATATCGTATAGTTTGCTCAGATGGAGCCTAGCCATTAAGCAAAAAATCCTCAAAACTCTTCTTAAATTTTTTATTTGAGAAAGAGAAGCTTGGCAAAAAATAATAAAATCATCTGTAAACTGGAAATGAGTCAAACGAAAAGGATCTTCTAACTTTCTGATAACGAATCCATGAAAAAGACCCAAATCAACGGCTTTAGACAACATCAAATGGAGCAACTCGCCAACTAAATTAAATAGAAACGGGAAAGACTGTAGCCTTGTCTCAACCCTTTTTTCATTGGAAACTCATCTGAAGGGGAGCCATTCACTAGAACCGAAATTGATGTTGAAGAGAGAAAATACAAAATCCACGAACACCATCTATCGCCAAAACCCATCTCTTTCATTGTTCTGATGAGAACTGGCCATTCGACAGTGTCATATGCTCTGCGAAAGTAACTTTAAAACAACCCCTTTAAGCCATTGTTTCCTCCAATGATCGATACCTTCATTAGCAAGGAAAGCACAATCCAACAACTACCTCCCTGGGATAAAAGCGAACTAGGAAGCACTGACAATGTCTATAATACATGATACGAGTCTCTTAGATAAGACTTTTGAGAGTATTTTGTAAATACTACCAACAAGGCTAATTGGTTTATAGTCATCTATACTCTCGGGATTTAATTTCTTCGGAATCAGGGTAATGAAGGCGTAATTAACCTCGTGCTCCCACTTCTTTCCACAATGGAAATCTTTAAAAAAAATTATAATTTGTTCCTTTAGATTAGGCGAACATTTCTTGAAAAAACCCATAATAAAAGAAACCCACAAACTCAATGGCTTTCAACATACACAACTATAAACATAACCAGTGTTTTAAAAGGCGCGAGGCGCCCTAAGGCGATTAACTACCCGAGAGCCTCAATTTTTGAGGCGCTTTGAGGCGAGGGATTCACGTACGCGAGGCGCTTAATTTTACAAAACATTTGTAAATATTTTATAACCATACCTCAAACACAAAACAACTTAATAATTAACTTAATAACCAAAAACACCAAGTAGCATATGTCATATTATATCTAAAAAAGACAAATAAAAAACATTATCAATAATCAAAATGCCTAAAACTCATCTTCATCATCATCGTCGTCAACATCAATCCCAAGCACCTACTCCTCCCCATCATCTTTGGAAAGTCTAATATCTTGATCTATCTCTTCATCTTCTTCATCAATCAAATTTAGTCCAATAGAGGGCCTTCTATGATTGGAGGTTTGGGCAACACCCTTTCCTCTATCTCTTGAGTTTGAACTTCAAATTGATTAAAAGAATCATTATTATGAATTTAAAATTTTAAAAAATAAAGTTCATGTAAATTAAATAAATCAACTTGAATTTGAGTTTGGGTATCTAAGCAAACGTAAAGTTTAAATACTAAAAATGCACATTTTCCTTGAGAAAAAACTCAAAACTAAGGTTAATGACATGGCAGGAAGTGATAGGTTGTAAAGAGAGAGGAGATAGGATATATCATTCACCCCACAGGAAACATAAAAGGATAAGCATATCCATACTTCAAAAGTGAAAATGGATAACAATATTCTCCAATCCCTTCCTTCAAAATCACCCCTACCAACCAACCCTCTTCTTCTGAAACCCTCGTCTTCGCCAAAATGTAATTACCTACCTTTTCCTCGCCGCCGCCGACGGTTTCCCAAAGTTTATTGTACCAACAACAGCGCCAATAATAGCAGTGAGGCCGCAAAACCACCAGTAAGACTGCCGTCAGATACTCTTCAAATCCGGTTCAAAAGAGGGTCAAGAAGGCGTCGACAGCTCCGGGAAGAAGGTGCCCGGGGAGAAAGGCAAAGGATGAACTCAAAGGCTGCAGCTGAAGCAGCTCCGAAGAAATGGGAGGAAATGAGCATGACAGAGAAGGCTTTAGAGTTGTACGTTGGAGAGAAGGGTTTGCTGTTCTGGCTCAACAAGTTTGCGTATGCTTCGATTTTCATCGTAATCAGGGCTTGGATAGTTTTCCGGTTTGTTGGACATGCTCTCAATCTTTACCAACTTGATTCTCCTCCTCTTGCTCCCACCTCCATGTTCAACGGTTCTTGATCCATACCACACTGATATCCATATGTCTGAAATGAGTCATTGTATGTTAATCGCTAAAAGCATCGCCTCATCGCCTCGTCGCCTCTCGCCGCCTCCGACGACTGAATCGCCGCCTCATGTACTCGCAGCCGCCTTGGTGGTCGGAGGCTTTCTTCTAAACGTCTCGCCTTGCCTAGCGCCTCAGGCGCGCTTTTTAAAACACTGAACATAACAATATTGGCGAGCAAAAGAAGAAACCGAAGTACCTCTTGAGTGTCCCGACTATGCGTTACGGGTTTGATTTCATTGTTTTCTAGGATTATGTGGAACACATCCTTGTTAGGAATATCTTTTATCACATGCCACTTAAGAGGGAAGAAACCATTCCACTTGTCCAGTTGCCAGAATTCCATATCTTTATTGAAGTTCACCTTGCCAACCATCTCAGCTAACCCAACAAACTGTCCACTTCCATTAACCTGACATTACATTGTCAAGAAACAACATAAGAAACCGGAGGCTGATAATATCCTGATGAATAATATGGTTGTTGACCAAGACATTGCCCATCAACACCCATTAAAGCCCCAGTTGCATATGGGTTATAGCCAGGCAAATAGTAGACAAAGGAACCATTTTCTGATTGCACTCCCTGGTGGAGCAACAACACCCCCCAACCCAAAAAAAACAAAGAATCAACATTTCTTCATGATTCCACATGAATGATATAGTGAAGATACGATAAACTGGAACCAATATGAAGGGATGATTTTCATAAACAGAAAGTGCAGTGAAGGAACTAATAACATACCGTGTGTGAACCATCACTAAGAAAATAGCCCTTATCATCAGATTGTGTAAATGATCCATCATAACCTGCACCAAAAATAAAATAAAAAACCGCCAATTACTATTCTTTTACAAAACTAAATCTGCTTATTGGTTTAAGTACAATGGTAAACCAAACTGCAAAAGAAGAAAAAAGACTGACATATCTAACAATAAAATTGAAGCATGGAACTAAAGCAAACAAAAATTTGTTCCCTTCAAAACATTTATCATTTTATTGGGGAACATGAATTAGCTTGAGCAAGTACAGATTTTGTTTGTCATAGAAATTGTGAGGGTGAATTTAAAATATCAATTACAAATTCATAAAGATTTCTGAAACCTCTGTAATTTAGGAACACTTTTCAACAATTGCCTTTTTGTGTGATTAAAAAACATACATTATCAATGTAATTCATCATTATTCAAAACGTTGGCATGTAAATGTGATATCTAAAGAATCACAGCAATTTAAAGATAGACTGAAAACGTAATCCCATTTGCAATGGAACCCATGGCTATACCGTGTATGAATGCCATGTTTCAGCGTAGGGATGTTCATAATTCTGTTAAAACCGAATTAAACGACCGAACCAAAATTTTGGTCGGTTAATCGGTCGGTTAATTTTGGATTTAGTCGGTTTACGGTTAATGGTTTTTTCAAACTTCGGTTATCGGTTAATTCGGTTCGAAATCGGTTAATTAACCGAAATTATTAAATATTTAATATTATAAATGTATTATTTATATGTTATTTAGCTTTAAGGATGTTTAAACTTTGGTTTTATCCGAATTAATCAACCTAATTAACCGAATAAACCAAAATTTTTTAATATTTAATATATAATATGTATATTATTTATAAATTTCAGTTAATTGACCAATTAACCAAACTTAGTTCAATTCAGTTAAATTTTTTTGAAAAAATTTTGGTTTGATTAACGGTTAAAGGGAAAAAAATCGGTTAATGAATTTTTGGTAATTCGGTTCGGTCGGTTAACCGAATTAACCGATTGCACACACCTATTTCAAGGTGAAGAACTGCTATATAATCAAAATCTAACCTGGGTAGTAATAATTGTCAAAGCCAGTAGATTGTTTGGCACCGGGCTCTCCAACCAAGTCTTGATTTGTGCCAGAAGATGGATATGGTGTAGAAGATATTGTGGAAGTCAAATCAGATGCAATTCCAAGTTTTCCAGAAGGCTGGAAACATCAAAACATGCCAACTTCAAAAATCCATGCACAATAGTTGATAAAGCAAAACAGAGATCAATTTTGAGAAAAAAGTTTAGATAAACAAAAATTTTGAGAGAAATTCACAACATACCACATCATGCTCAGCCAATTTGGGAACAGCTTCAAACTTCATAACCACATCGATAGGTTCCGCTAAGTTACATGGTTAAGTAATATCATTAGAGAATCACAAAACATTTAGAAAACATATTACACAACCACAACCAGCATAACATTCACAAAAGCAGATCACACAGTCACAACTGATAAAGTTAAAAGCACGACTTGGCATAAGACATCAATAGGGAAGCTTAATAACACATGAAAGTGCTGCTTCTTATTATAACCAAGGTGATATCATGAGGCTGATTAATAGTATTAATAGGATTTTTTCGATATACCAATTTCATCAACCATAAGTAAGATGCCAAACAAATTGATTAAGCCCTCACTGATACCTATTGTTTACTGGCCACTATCAAGCTTAAGAGATCACAAACCAGAGTTTTGGTCACTAACAGCCAATCTATAAACATCATAAACCATCAGATGCATTCATACAAGGAAAGCATGACAATTAATCAGAACTGAAGCAAAAGATACGATTCTCCAAGGTCTTTTAACCAGCCATTATCAAAATATCAAACAAATATTCGAAACCCAATTGACCTAACAAAAAAAAGAAGAGCCAAAAGGCTTATGTAAAAGGCTTTAGTTGCAGTCTTTTATAAGAGGATAAATTCAACCTAGTCTTCAACGCCTACTTTCAATAAAGGAAAGGTAAATACTTAATACTACTTCTCTATATAAAAGTCATGGTCATATACTTAGCGCATAAGGTTTCTCTCAATATTATTTATCAAATTAAAAAATCACTTAAAGAAACATTTATATAATATGTCATTTAAACAAGAAGAAGAAGAAGGTTGTTTAGAAAACAAAAAATGCATTGAAATGTTATGAAATTGAAAGTTGGCACATCAAAGGTGTGGAAGAAATAGATTCAATTCTTTTCTCATGAAGAGAAGCAAAAGATTCTTTTTTAAGTAAAAGATATTGTTTTTATTATAAATTCCATAAACAATGAAAAAAATCTAATTTTTTAGACCAAGAAAACAATCTCTCTCTCTCTCTATATATATTAGTCAATTCCTGATGTCTTCAGGAGAAAACAAAAAACACAAATGAAAGCTGAGATACTCTGAGGGAAAATCGGGATTTTGAATAATTTTACAAATAAGAGGGGAATTTTGCACCGACAAAGAAGATAACTAGAACAATTGTCTAGAAAAAAAAACTTTTCATTTAAAGAAAACTGTAAACAACTTCAAATTTTTTAGGGAAGCTAAGAGGAACACATATCGAAAGGCGTACATACCTGAAAAAACCGGATCCAATCTGATGGGTCGGGATCTCCAGCTAGGAAACCCGCTTTTGATTTGAAGAAAAACACTTTCTTCCCTTTCTTCTTGAAGAGAATGGAGTAGGAAAAAGGAAGTGCGAGAAACGCTGAGGGATTTTAAAACTGGAAGAAAATATTCCGTCTTGTTTTCCAAAACAAATGGACGGATGCGATTAGTATTTGGTATAAGAAACAACGAATCCTGACCGTTATATTTCAGGAGAGGAGATTCAGTTCTCTTGTTGGGCTGGGCTACAGCTCGATTTAATTTCTACCGTCCCATTTATTATTTAGGATAAAGTCTTCAAATGATCCTTTCATTTTTAAGATAATATCAATCTAGTCATCAAATATATCTTTTCAGTCACCACTTGTTCTAACGGATCAATTCAACTTCATCGATTATCTATAGAAACAATATCTATTTTTCGCATACACAACAAAGTAATTGAAATCAGTAACTCCATATTTGATTTACATGTAAGTGAAGTTTGATGTTGGTTTTGGTTAGCTTGGTGGAGATGATAGTAATAGATGTACATAAATTTTAGAATCAATGAAATTTTTATTTGATTTTATAGAGTCCATTTTTAAAAAAGAAATTAGATTTGAGAAGAAACATATCAAATTTTTAAGAGAATGATATTCAAGTTTGAGATAAAGGATTCAAGATGAAAAATAATATGATTGATAGATTAAAATTGACACCCTCAGATCGATATGGGTGACTTGATCTGTTATGAGGTGTCACATTAGGGCCACTAGACCGACCCACAATAAAAATAACAGATAAATTTAAAAGTTTTATTAAAACATATAAAAATACAAGTATACAATATTTCAAATCGTAAAACAGAATGCATTCATACCTCCCATCATAAAAGTTTTAGATTCAATATAAAAATCAAATGTGTCCTACATGCCCCTTGATTACACTTATACCATACTCTATAAGCAAAGCCTGAAATGATGAATAACATAGTGAGCTTTGGGAAACTCAGTAATACAGAATTACCAGATGATGCTGAAGGACATGCAGATAATTAACAATCATAAAAATTTTCTTATTGATTCAAGAATCTACATGTTTTCGTGATGAGCTGAGGTTCCACTAATATTTCTTCAAGTAAAAGACAGGAAGCTTACAGTTCAGAGGAAAAGTTCAGAGGATTGGAATATAATGTCTAGTGTGTTCCCACAAACCTAGAATAAATAAAATCATAGATTAAAAACAATAGTATTTTATTTTAGTAAAACAAATTTTTAAAATCATTGTAATACATTTCACCCGGACACTCCTTATGCAGTCCCCCAAAACTGCATCCATAAGGGCTTACCCTAAGCACACAGAAAAGAAACCACCCTAAAAGAGTACCTTGGGGCCTATAGGTCTACACAAGGGTCACCTTAGGTCCGTAAGGAATTACCAGCTTGTTCAGAGCTGAACCTCCGTACGCCAGACTCTTACCCATACAATATCCAGTAGAAATCAGATTGAGTAGTAAACTATAATATCAAAATCATGATCCAATAGAATATTATAAAAATGACAATGTAGTTATTTAAATCATATAAATGCCCTCCACCCTGACACCATATAAATGACATACCCAAGAACTGCATCCATAAGGACTTACCCTAGGCTCAATGGACCTAGGAGCCAACCTAAGGGAATGTATTGGGGCCTAAGAGCCTACCCAAGGTCACTTTAGGTCCGTAAGGAATTACCAGCTTGGTCAAAACTGAACCTCCATACTTCAAAATCCTACCCAGACATTATCCCAATAATCGGTTTATATCGTAAACAGTAAATTCAATTATCCATAAATCAGGCATAATTATATTTTCCAGTGGAAACAGGTAACCAAAGGACATATATCATGTAGCCATACTTCACAGCCAGTAAATCAATAATTTTGAACTTTGAACAGTTAAAAGACTCAGTAAATCAGTAACTTCAGTAAATCACATTCCAGGACCGATAAAACAATCATATAGTACATAGGAAACACACTTAGAAAATTCAGTTATTTTTTGAAGGCACGTAGTAATTATCAGGAAGGGGAGCATGAGCTTCTGCAAGTTGATTGGATTTAAAAAATGGGATCCCTACTAAAAAGGGGTTTAATTGCTAATGGATCTAAACAGACATTCAAAGATTGATGCTTAAGAACCATTTAAGATTTCAGGTGTATCAGAAAGGTATTTAGGAACCTTTACATCATAACAAATTAAGATTTCAGATATAACCAGAGTGATTCCATTATTTATGCCATCAGGGTATTTCGGACACTTTGATTTCTAATGGATTCTTAGCAACTTAATCCAATAAGAGTGAAATAATGATTTACGGTATTCAAGATTTATGTCAATTTATCAGGATATCGGTCAACTCGAACTGAACAAATCTCAGTACTATGATACCTGTCAACCACTCAAATCGATGCACTTCAAGAAGATTCACACATTAAATACTGACAATGCTAGTCTAAATAATCATCTTTAGAACTATCATTGAATGGGTCTTGATGAACTATATGTATTTCGATGGTATTTATTTTATTTATGTATTGCAACTGTCTCCAACATGACCGATGTACTTGAGTTATACTCCACAACCTTTAGGGGCGATATAATACTTAATTTTTCTCAGTGTTTCAAGAATTATCAAATAACATTCACTTATTTCTAGGTCATGAGGGTAGTCAAGTCATTTTTGTACTTGATATTACTTCGGTCATCTTAGAGTTCAAGGCATTCCAATCATTTTCTTTGATTCATTCAAATATATATATATATATATATATATCATTTCCAGTAATTTAATTATCGGGTGATTATTCCAAAATAAAAAATTCTAAATCTTTTATCGCATTGGGAATTTAAAATCGATAAACAATATGTTTATGAACAAATCGAGTATTTATCAAGTGAATAAGTAGTCTATCAGATCAAGGATGACTTTTTAGGGTTATTTTAATTATTACTAATCTTGAGGATTAGGAACCGATTTTTAGGTCTTCCAACCGATTTACAGGTCTTTTAAACAAGTCACGAGTTCAGTCGATGGATCTATAGTTCTATCAGGTCAAGAATGAATTATCAGGTTAATTCCACTACTCGAGTCAATTATGTTCTCTTTTTTACTTTATAATGGTATTTTCGTAATTTTCTTTTTAAACATTTTTGGCATCAAAACATTTAACGATAATTTTCAGAGTTTAAAGATTCTAAGATTAATTCCTTTGTCTATTAATCACTAACCATAAATTTATTTCTTATCAATCTACCAATTCATTTGTGCAATTCAATCGAGTCTTAACCAATTTATTAATGAAACCATATTTAGTTCGAGTCCATCCATTACCAAACATGCATAATAGACCCATCATATACATCCATGCATTTATCCAGTATCAACATATTTCATAAAGCATACAAAGAGGTAGTAAAGTATCACCTCGATTTTTTAGCCATGTTGGTTAACTAATTAAACTCCATTTGGTTGTCCTCGAATGTAACACCCCAACCCGTATTTGACCCAAATACGAGTCTGAGATGTCACATCAACTTTTTAAATCATTTCTTTATATAAAAATATATAGAAATTTAAGAAAATTTCAAACATACTGAATAATTTACATATATCAATTTAAAACATTTACAAAACTATTCAGAGCTTATACAAATTTAATCCTTGAAATACATGCCAACACTATATAATACAAAAGGGAAAACCTACTGTATATTTTCTGATATGCTCTTTGTAGAAGTTATGTTGTCTCCTCAACTAACTTCTTTGCGAACTTCTCGAATCCTACGTGTGAAACACTCACACGCTAAGTCATAGACTTAGTGAGACATGTAAATACACAATGTAAACTAACAAATGAATGTACATATCATGTAATACACATCATACTTATATACATATTTAAACCCATCATTAATATGCTTATCATTACTTATTTTATTATCATTAATTCCTTTGCTATCATATGAGCATATACTTTACATAAACATATAATATAAATTATAAAACACAACAATGCATGAATAATTACTACTATCATATCATACACAAGCACATATCATCTCATATCACAAATACACATATCCACTTATTATTATTATCCTCATTCCTATTATCATATGATCATGAACTTATTATTTATACATATCATATAGTACAAATACCATTTCACGAAAGAACACATACTTTATCATAACAAGTTATTTATTATCTTTAAAGCCCATGTATACTTCTGAGAACTGAAGGTATGTGAGTACATAGAGGTTGTGCACATATGCTGTCACCACAGCTCGTAAAATTCCCACTAGGGGCGCATAGAAATTGTCCCGAAGGACCACATAAACTCATATATCCAGAAGGACCACATAGAACATATATGTTCCGAAGGACCACACAGAACACATATGTCCCGAAGGACTACGTAGAACCCTCGACTCTTGGCATGCCAACTATACCCCTAGGTCTCAATACACATAACATGGGCATTATTATTTATGTTATCACACTTTCACATATTCATATCATATACACATATAAGCTCATGGCTTCTTATCACATATATCGTGTAATACTCACATGGAGTCTCATATCTTCTTATCATATATCTCATATCACAAGTTCTTGTATTTATATAACATATCATCCCGTAGCTCATGTCATTTCTCATAAAACTCATTATATCATGTTGCACATATAGTTCATATCATATGGTTTATATCTTTTCATTTATCTTATGTTTTATCCTTTTATATTTATATAAATCACATACATGTAATACATACATTGCATATTCACACATATATGTGTTCAAACAAATCACATAAATAAATACACTTACCTCTAAACATATGCATGAACTCAGGTACATCTAAGCATCATATCCCTATAAGCTTATATGCACATACTCATGTATCCTAATATCGGAATTAGACTTATCACCAGTCTTAATCCATAACATAACTTACACTTATTATCATGTACTCACCTTGGTTACTTGCCAATATAAAGTTCTCATTATCTTTCTCGAATCTTGCTCTGACAGCCTATCCAAACTTTGTTTC